TTATATGCAATTTTTTCTAAAATTGTTTAACTACAAAAATAAATCCAACATTCCACAATCCAAAAAATCCTCCAAAAATAACCTAACTCACTTATGCGCCTAAAAGCATGCTTGATTACTCAAACTGACGCTGATGTTCTCATAAGGCTGATTAAGTAAACGCATGCACACACACTTGTATGTTTTTTTGTGATATCAAAAATCAGGTGCATGCATATGTACATGTATAATATAAAACTCTTGTGTATACAGTAAACTCCCGTTTTACAAAACTTCAAATTTTCCCCAAACAAAAAAATTCATATACAAACTTAATTTTTTTCATTAAAAAATTTAAAAATCGTGATCAAAATGTAAAAATATAACTGTTGTTGCTTTAGAAATCCGCTATATTTTAATTGGTTGCCTCTATTCACTTTTGTACAGGTTTCACTGTGCCATAATGACCGCAATGCATGCAATTTAGTCGCGCGACTGCACGCACACGCAAGTCACAAGTACATTATTTACACAAATTTAGCTGTCAAAGCAAATACTGCAAGTATGACAAGCTATGCGTCACAACAACAACTAAAGCATAATACAGCAACACGCGAAATAGTTACTAAAATACAGCGCAACAAAGAAATACACAAACATACAAAAACACACAATTGTTGTTGTCATTTTCCACATAATTTTTTGCATGTTTTTGTTGTTGTAGTTGTTGCACAGTTATCTTGTTTTTATTTTAACAAGAACGCAAATTGCGTGTTGCAAGGAGTTAACACAGACTAAAATGGGGAAAAAATGAAACGCGCCAACAACAAAGCACCAAACAAAATACAACGAACAACAGCAATATTTACAACGAAATGGAGCAACAACCTTTTGACACACCTTTCGGTGCGGCGGAATGGCGTAGTTCGCGCACAAAAGGCACTGCGACGCCCCATTTTCGCTGCTGTTGTTTCACAGGAGGACAAGCATGAACGTATGGATGTGTATTTGTATGTATGTATGTGTGCATGTATGCAGGCACAAAGTTGCAGAAAGTCAGCGGGAGAAACTTGTTAAGGATAAAAGGCAAGCAAAGATAGAACAAAAGAAAACAGAAAAGCTAGCGACTACCACAATGCTTATGTAATTTTCTAGGGCAGTGCGGCAGTAAGGCGCTTTTATTCATAATTCAATAGCGCTATTTAGGATTTCTAAAGAATTATTGCTCACTATTTAAATGCTTTTATGTAAGTGGTTGAGACAATAATTTAAGCACATTAAAGAATAAGAATGGTTGAATATAGTGAAAATATATTCCAAGCTGAATGAAAACTCAACTTTATTAAATACTATTAAATATTATGCTATGACTTGATAAAAGCAAGTATTATTCGTAAGGCATTCACACCCATATGGACATATACATGATTCTTTCTATGGCTTAGTTATTTCAAATTTGTGCATCATGCAATTTTCTTCTATTTTTAACTTAATAAAATGATAGTAATGAAAAAAAAATATAATTAGCAAGTACGTTCTAAGAAACCGCTATTACGATCTTTATAAACGGTTTCAGCACAAAATGTTAAGAACATTCTCTGGTGTTTGTATTTGCTAAATTTAACTGTTAAATTTTTATATGGAAATCATTGCTCGCTCCAGCGCCACCTATACATAGCAAAGTCGCAATCCAAATGATAACTACTGTTGTATTCAGACACAGCGACATCTACTGTCGTAGATGTGCACTGCGCTTACAGCTAGCCAACTCTAGAGGCCGTTATCCATCGGTCTATTCTTGTCCAGCAGCCTACTGCGCTGGCGCAAGCATTGATTGAAGCAGAATTTTCAAATGCAAAATGGGTTTTGAAGGCGAACATTTGGTAGAAAACGTACTCTCAATGTTTGATTTATATTGCTGCTGCACACACTGTTGTTGCTACAACATTTCAATATTTATTTATTTATATGATTAAAATTGACCATTCTGCCGTGTTATTCATAAGTTATAAACCAAACACAAAAAATTGCATTGCCTTTGATTGCCGGCCACGGGAGTTGTCTGCCTTTGTTTGCTACATTTGATATAGGCCAGTAAAAAGCATTTGAAAATGATAAAAAGTGAAAAAAATGTGGTACGTTGAAACCAATTGGAAAATAAAATAACAAAAATTAAAGGAAAGAGAATTTCGGGCGATCTGAGCTCGCGAAGAGGAAATGGAGGCGGTTGTTTGAATTTTTAAGAGTTAACAACTGTTTTTCTCGATTCCCGGCAAAACTACGAGTGCTACTTGTGCGAGTATATAGAAAGTTATAGAGCAATGTTGTAGGCAATAAAATGATTTACAACTTTTGTATCAACACTTTTCTTCACATAGCCTAAAATTTTATGTGAAAAATTAAAATTACCAATTTTTTGGTTCTTTATTTTGATCAGTTTCAAAAAAATTGTCTTTCACAAAATTTGGGGTAGACTAAAATTTTTTGGGTATGATGTAATTTTTTTAATTAAAAATATGTTTCTTTTCCCTTTATTTGGACGTAATATCGAAGAAAAACTTTGATTTGCAATCGAAAATTCTCACGTCAAAATAGCATCTCTTTTTTTTATTTTGGATGATTTACTACTTACGTAAGTTTTCTCAGAATGCAAAAAAACGCCCACTACCTGACACAAACCTGATATTTTCTACTCTGTTACTACGAAATAAAATGTCGACTGATACTCTATGACCTATACAGATACCTCCGAAAGGATGACAAAGTGGAGCAATAAAGATGAGACCACAGCTTTTAGCAGAAATATCTTACGATGGTCAGATGATTCACTTATAAATTTTGTCATAGCTTATATAGTACAACAACAACCACACGATCTGGTACTAGTAGAAACGAACAGGAAAAAAAGAAAATGAATGTGTTACCAAAAAGTGGATTGATGAGTGTTATGCTCTACGCCAACGAAGCATGAGTGCCGAAGACGACGAGGCTACTGGGAATCTAAACAACGCTGTTACTAACCAAAACTTCCAGAGATCTTTAAAATAAAAATGTGAAGCCTATTTGGAAATTAGAGATCAGTTGTACTACAAAACTACTTATATTAAAATATTAAAACAAAAAAAAAATTTCGACTGTCCTAATAATTGAGAGCAGTCGACCAGCTTGCGTCGTGACAAAAACTGAAACGGAAAAGTATTCTCTGTCCCATATTATTTAAAACTGTGCATGAACACTTCGCAAAAATATGGTAACTACGTTAAGAGCAATCGAGTATATAGTCCTTCGAAAACGAAGAACTATGATATTAGTAACTGCTATATGCATAGGGAATAATAGCAATATAACCACACAAATCGAAGCCACAAATTCTTCCCTTCACTACTTATAAATAGGAGTATTAATCGAATAAAACCATTCGAAGAGCAGCAGATGCAGCTCATACTAAAAATACGCCAACACATATTCCGATTATATTGGCAATACATATATTTGTATGAATGTATGGTATGTATGTTTGTACTATGAAAAAAATATGTATGTAAAGGTAGAAGTATATGTGTGTGCGTTATTTTTGGGAACAATGGCAGGATGAGATTGCATACTTCAACAAAAACTTTTATTATTAGACAAACTATCTGCACGTATGACTATTATAATAAATTGTATATGTTGCTGTTGCTGCACAGTATAGTTGTTGTTGTGGGCAATGTTGATGTTTTTATTACATGTCAATGTTTTTTATTGCTGTCATGAAAGTAATTTTGTCAAAAACAGCTCGAAGCACAGGCACGCTCCACTAGGTCGAAACACATAAGGCAGCAAAACACACACAATATATATAATATAAAGGTATACATGTATTGTCCTGTGCGGCACGGACTTAAGCAGGAGTATGCATATATGCATACACACATAGCTCTTTGCTTCTGGCAGCGAACATCTTTGGGCACTGTGCTCGCACCGAAGCGAAATTTGTGCGCCTAATGCCCCGAGGCGCGGCACGAGCAACCTCACATTGCTGCAGTCTACACACAATGGCTAATATATTGCCGTAGGTCGTGGCTGCCGTCAACTGAGTATAGATGATTTGCGTTTTTTCGCTTGATTTTTAAGGATAATCCGAGTTACTTCTTTTACGACTATTTGCTATAGATATTTTTGGCATGTGTGTTTTTTTCATTGTTGAATGCACAAAAATTATTATATGACATTTTTCGAGGCATGTGCATTTTCCGTGCAGCACTCGGCGGATTGTCGAAATTTAATGCCACACAGTGTGGTTATAAATATATGTGGGTATGTATGTGTGAAGGTGCGGTGTAATAAAATATACGAGTGGGTCATGCTTGTCACGCAGTCAAAATAATAATGTGCAGTGCAAAAAACAACGGTATATTGCTAATGTTTTCTGGTTGAATAGATTTCAGTCGTAAAATGCTTGCTACGTTTAGGCGATTCGAGATTTTCAAACAATCGAATATTTTGATTTTGGCCTAAAGTAAACTCCCTCGAATTATGATATATCGGTATGAAATTTTGCACATAACCTTTACTCTGAAAGAGGCTGCTTACTTGTCTGAAATGCCGATATCAGACCACTATAGCATATAGCTGTCATACAAACTGACCAATCAAAATTGAGTTATTTTATAGAAAACTTCTTTATTTGAGAAAATATCTTCACGAAATTTGGTACGGATTAGATCGAACTACTCTGGCATATATATAGCTTTGAAGCAGCTGAAGTTAATGTTTTTTTTATCTCTTTTTAAAAAATTTACCCATTAACATCGCTCGTAGAGGCCCTCTTGAGAAGCGTGCTTCTGAAGATTAGCGCAAAAACCGCAATTTTTGCATCCAAAAGTCAATAAAAATATGTTGTATTAACAAAGACTGAATGAAATAAACTTGATATCTTATTCTTTACTTCAAGAATAAATTCTCAAAATCCTTTAGGGCTTTAACCAGAGCTAACCCTTACTAAAAACCAACAAACATGCACGGTACAAATTACATACCTGTGAGAAATACGCTGGCAGCACACAGCGTTGATCGTCCAGACGAGAGCACTGTACGCGCTCCAACAGCTCGAAGAGATCCTGTGTGGCACCGCGCAATTTTTCCGGACTGTGCGACGCACTTCCGCTGCCGCCGCCTTTTTGCGAGCCCGCCATGAAAGCGTGTTGTCGCCTGCAAATAGAAATGTGAGAGGCGTTATGAGCAAAGTGATTTTACAAAAACAAAATAAACAGAAAAAAGAAAACAAACATAAAATACAAAAAATTACGAGTATTTAAAAAAATATATTTATATTCTGCGCGAAATTCATAAATCCATATGTATGTAGGTGTGTAGCAAAAGCAAATATGTATGTAGCAAAAAGAAATAAAATACGACAAATAAACACCCACATGTGTTCAAACAGTGACGAGGGAAAAGTGGCCAAGAAACCGTGCTGGCGCCTCTGGCTCAAACGCACAACGCTAAAATGGTGAGTGAGGCGCCTAGAAGATGTCACAACAAAAAAGAACCACATAAATAAACAAACAATTGGCATCTTCGAAAAGCGTTTTAAGAAAACGCGTACTTGAAGCTAAATATAAATCAATTGAAAATATGCCTGTTATCCCACACAAGTAGCGCACCTCTCCACCACTCCTATTTCCTTATCCATTTCGCACGTTTGCAGTTTTCATGACTATGCGTTCGAAAATCGTTCAAGTGGTCTCAACCGCAAAGCAGTCATCTTTCATTCGCAGGACTCAAATGTCAGTGACCGAATTTTGTTGTTGTTTGCATTACGAAACATATAGCTGTTTACTTAACTGTGAATTGTTTGGAAAGCGATTAAATGGTGGTTAATACATCTATGTGTCTGTTTTGGGTGCAGTATTTAATAATGAAAAAAGATTTCTTCTCTGACGAGCAAACTAAAACTGTTTAACAACTACAAGGGTTTTTCGGGGTTCGGGATTAGAAAACAAAAAAAAATGTTAGTAATCGAAAATGGCTTTATTATTTTTAAAAATATTCTCCATTAAGACCTATACACTTTTTCATGCGTTTGAACCCATTGTCAAAGCACTTTTGCCACTCTGATTGAGTTATCTCCGAAACATGCGTTCTAAACGTATCCACGCCTCTTCAGGTGTCGAAAAACGTTGACCTTTCAGTCAAAGCAGTCATTCGGTGCCAAGTCAGGACTATACGGTGGATGACGCATCAAATCGGTGTTTTGTTTTAGTCGATGTATGAAAGCACGCACTGTCGTGGTGAAGAGTGATCCGTCTTCGTATATTATTTATCGTATCATATTTTTTAACATTTCTCTCGACTAATCGACACGAGCCTTTTTTTGAGCGATTGACAAATTTTGTGGGATCCAACGTGAACAAATTTTTTTTTTACAGTCAAATGTTCAAGCAATATTGAATTTATGCTGATCCCACTAATACCTATAGTTGTCTCAATCTCAATCTCAATCGATAAACACTGGTCTTTATAGAAACAGAAACGTACATTAAGTTTATATACTGTATGTTCTTATGTACATATAGTATATATTTTTTCTTCACACACATACATATACATATGTACATATGTTTTTGATTTCACTTTCGCTCTCCATTTTTATGGATTGTTTTCTCTTCAAAAACTTCATGTTGACAAATATTTCTTTTATTGCATAAAAAAATATAAAATGTCAGAAGCACTTTTCAAAGCAACATTAAAAGAATTGCATATTCAACATGCAATGATTTCTCAATCGCTCAATCGGTGGAAATTTACAACCCCAAAAAGCAGTGATTTCTAAGATTTTCGACATGCAAGCTTTAAATAAATTTCTAAGGCATTTAAAGTAGCAGTAAAGAACACTTATACTTATGTTCTTAAAGAGCATATATGGTACATATGTGTGTATGTATGTGCATGTAAGTATAAATATAGCCAGTGTTCGAAGCGGTGTGTTTGCGCAATTTTCATTCACTCGATTCACTTACACTCGATTCGAGTGGCACATAAAGAAAAGCTGCGCGCTGAAGTACCCTCAAAAACAGTAAAGTTTGCAAAGCGGACAATGGAACAAGTTTTTTTTCTTCGCTTACAAAATTGTTCAAAATGTCAAAAAGACCACGAATGGTTTGCAATACGCACAAATGATTTGGGTAAGCCACATACAAAGAGATCCGTATGTATACATGAAGCTATTATATTTGTGGCTTTCTCATAAGCGTGTGAACAATTCGCCAGTTCAAAAGTGGCCAATAAAAGCTATTAAACTAGAAAAGTGCGCATTTGATTTGAAATAAACGGAAAACTTGAGAAACTTGAGTTGTTTCTTAAACGCCTACGAGGAAGTAGAAGGAAGTAGGGTGTGTTGTTTAAGGGGTTAGGAGAGCTTCGAATTTTCCAAAAAAAATTTAACTTCGGGTGTACCGAAGCTATAATATCCTTCTCAAAATTTCAAAAGATTCCTTATGATAACTAGATTTTGATCGATGATTGTATGGCAGCTAGATATAGTGACTCTATCTGAGCAATTTCTTCGGAGATTACACATCAAACGAAAAAGTTTTAAATACAAGCACTTGATTCCGATCGTTCAATACATTTGCTAATGCATACGCTATATGCGATTGTTATCCGATCTGAAAAATTTCTTCGGAGATTACACCATTGTCTTAGACAATAACCCATGCTAATCAATCACACAAGCTATAAGATATAGTGGTCCGATATTGGCAGTTCTGACAAATGAGCATCTTGGGGAGAAAAGAACGTGTGCAAAATTTCAGATTGATATCTCAAAAACAAAACTAGTGACTAAATCTCTGTCTTGAAAATGTGATTACGAAGATGGACCCTGTAGTCCATAAAAAATTTTTTTATATACACTCAAATGCAATCCTTGAGTGGAAATGAGGAATGTCGCCCGCAAACATTTTCTGTGCCAAATTCGACATTGACGGGCAATGCCCGCCACATATTTAGATGCTTCAAAAGTAGTAGTAGTAAATTTATGAAACTTAAAAACAACTATTATGATATTTATATGTACATTATCTTGACTCTCTTTTTTATACTCTCGCAACCTGTTGCTACAGAGTATAATAGTTTTGTTCACCTAACGGTTGTTTGTATCACCTAAAATTAATCGAGTTAGATATAGGGTTATATATATATAAATGATCAGGATGAAGAGACGAGTTGAAATCCGGGTGACTGTCTGTCCGTCCGTCCGTCCGTCCGTGCAAGCTCTAACTGGAGTAAAAATTGAGATATCTTTATGAAACTTGGTAGACATGTTTCTTGGTACCGTGAGACGGTTGGTATTGCAGATGGGCGTAATCGGACCACTGCCACGCCCACAAAACGCCATTAATCAAAAACAAATAACTTGCCATAACTAAGCTCCGCAATAAGATAAAAGACTGTTATTTGGTACACAGGATCACATTAGGGAGGGGCATCTGCAGTTAAAACTTTTTTTAAAAAGTGGGCGTGGTCCCGCCTCTAATAGGTTTAATGTGCATATATCCTAAACCGCTAATGCTATAATAACAAAATTCACTAGAAGCAAATGTTTTTAGCACTTCTATTGACGGTGTGAAAATAGTTGAAATCGGGTGGCAACTCCGCCCACTCCCCATATAACGGTACTGTTAAAAACTACTAAAAGCGCGATAAATCAAGCACTAAACACGCCAGAGACATTAAATCTTATCTCTGAGATGGTATAAATTGGCTTTATAGGAACCGCGTTCAAAATTAGTCAGTGGGCGTGGCACAGCCCACTTTTAGGTGAAAACCCATATCTTGAGATCTGCTTAACCGATTTCAACCAAATTCGGTGCATAACGTTCCTTTCATGTTTCTATGTCATAGTGCGAAAATGGGCGAAATCGGAATACAACCACGCTTACTTCCCATGTAACACCATTTTCAATTCCATCTGATTCTTTCACTTTCCACTATGCAAATCAGGTAAAAATGATTACATCGGGGTAAAACTTTGCGTGAATAATGCAATTAAAGTATGCCACCTTGCGGCCAAAAATTGTCTAAATCGAACCAAAACTGTTCAAACCCCTAAGTAGTAAATATGTGGACCCCAGTGCCTATAGTTGACCTTCTACCGATAATATCAGTCAATCCACAGAGAAATCTCAAACGAGTATACTATTTGACTTTGCGAGAGTATAAAATGTTCGGTTACATCCGAACTTAGCCCTTCCTTACTTGTTATAAATATATTCATTAAAATTAAAATATTTTATTTTTATATTCTGATAACACCAGCACAGAGTTGCATTAAAATTAAATAGTCTCCACGCCCAAGTTTCTTTGAAATTAAATTGTAAGGCCAGGAGTTAATAAGGTCTGAATGTGTGAAATTCAATGCTGTTTTCACTCTCAAAATTAAATTGTCAAAATGAGAACTTTTTTCAGAACTGTGAACTGGCCTAATGTAAAAGCCCTTATGTAAAAGCAATCTAAAAACTTTATAACTTTTTTCTTTAATATATAAAATTTAGAATATGTACAGATGTCTTTAATATTTATTTTTGTACTTAAATATGTGCTTTTCTATACACATATGTGTGTATGTATATAGAAATAGAATTTCGTGCTGATGCACTTGCGTCAACACCTTCCTCTCAGCTCTTTACTTAATTTTTTTTATACTCTCGCAACCTGTTGCTACAGAGTATAATAGTTTTGTTCACCTAACGGTTGTTTGTATCACCTAAAACTAATCGAGTTAGATATAGGGTTATATATATATAAATGATCAGGATGAAGAGACGAGTTGAAATCCGGGTGACTGTCTGTCCGTCCGTCCGTCCGTGCAAGCTCTAACTTGAGTAAAAATTGAGATATCTTTATGAAACTTGGTAGACATGTTTCATGGTACCGTGAGACGGTTGGTATTGCAGATGGGCGTAATCGGACCACTGCCACGCCCACAAAACGCCATTAATCAAAAACAAATAACTTGCCATAACTAAGCTCCGCAATAAGATACAAGACTGTTATTTGGTACACAGGATCACATTAGGGAGGGGCATCTGCAGTTAAAATTTTTTTTTAAAAAGTGGGCGTGGTCCCGCCTCTAATAGGTTTAATGTGCATATCTCCTAAACCGCTAATGCTATAATAACAAAATTCACTGGAAGCAAATGTTTTTA